TCTTCAGCTATCAATAGATTCATGTTCCTACTATTTGAACAGAATACTAACCTGTTTCTAGGCTTTAAGTTTCAAGGAAATATCCTTACCAGTTCAAAACTGCTTTTCTTGAAACCATCAGCTGAACCTGCTATTGAAAGTAGTTAGATTACGTATGATATTGTGTGATCAACGAAATGTTGGGGGAAAAGGAATTGAAGACAACTGTAGACAGCAGAGATAGTGTAATAAGAGAGTGCAATAGGGCAGAGGGTCAGACATGGAGTAAAAAACATATATATATGAAAGTAGAAATGGAATATTATGGATGATAACATGCATGATTAAGTCACTATCCAGTTTATTCTAGATGGAAAACCACATTTAGTATGTTGTGATGATGCTCAGGGAATGAATGTAAATTAATAAAAAAAAATTCAGAAGGAAAAGAAAAAGCAAAAGCATTAAAAATACCTATTTGATGACTGCAATAAGCTATATAGCCCTAGCTAGGAGCTACTTTATAGTATGTTCATTCTATTCACTGAGGTTTATGCCTAAAGTCAGACTTGTGTTCATGGATATGTATATATCAGCTGTGCTTGATACTGAAAATATTTAGATTTATTAAGGTATTTAGTGGAACAATAAAATGGGGAAGGCATAGAAAGCAACAATAGATACCAGACACAGTGTGGGAGGAGAGTAGGAGATGGCAGAGGGTGAGATAGGGAATCAAGGATGGGAAAAAAGGCAAAATATACAGGAAACAAGAAATAGAAAATTATTTGTTGACAATAACGCATATGTTGATGTTCTTGATTGAGCCAATATACAGTGTATTCTGAATGGAAAAATCTCATTTTGTATGCTGTAATGATGTACAGTGAATGAATGTAAATAAATAAATAAATAAATAGGTCAAGGCAAAGTTCTCAGTCCTAGGGCTATGCCTTTTCCTGTGATTAAATATCCGAATTGCTAATATACACAACCAATTAACCTTAATGTTTTGTCAGTTATACTGACAAAATTCACTTTAAATGGACTGTATCCCCTCTGCAAGAATTACAAAGCTTCATTTTTACCTCTAACTGAACATACTTTATATATCCAATTTAACATATTTAACTCTTTCAAAATTTTCTGTTCAAACATATAATCCCCTTAATCATACTCCTCCTCTTTTAACTTCCACTAAGCTGTTCACAAATTTATAGTATCATAAAAATGATCACTGATTCTTTTTCCCTCCCACTGAAGTAAAATATTAGAAGGATCTTAAAGCAAAGGCAGTTCTCCACATGGAACAGAAATCCCCACAGTGCAGTGCTGGCAACTTCATTTCCCGTACTGAACAACAGGAGCTACAAAGGCAAAGGGTCACACTGTATGGACTAGGATGCTGAGCCAACAGCAGGAAAAGCCAGCTAGGGGTCACAAGTAATAAGAGGGGAACTGTTGGTTGTGCAGTAGTTCGTTTGAATGTGAATATAATCTCTGCACATCTCAGAGGTTGGCATTTGGGACTGAAATACATTCAAAGGAACTCTTTGTTTTAATTTGCCACTCATATGGAGAGAAATAAAACGGTAGACTCTCCTGAGGCCCAAAACGTACTGTTGGTGGTTACATCAGGCATTCCCATTTTCAGGTTCCCAGGGTAGGACTTATTAAACAACTATGTCAGCAGAGCCCTAAGGCCTGAAAGAGTGAATGCTTAATGTTCCACCCACCTAAGGAGTAGCTTAGGCCTTGAAAATAGCTGGCTCAGCATGTTTTAGTGCTGGGCTCAGGAGTCATTTTTCTTCGGTGTGCACCATCACCTGACTCTACCAAAAAAGAAAACGGAACAAAGTAAGTTCAATAGGCTAGTTACCCTTATAGATAACTATTTTCCATGAAATGTATAGGTTTTCGCTTTGTATATGTTTTTCAGCGAAAAGACAGTTTTCATTGTCGCTTCACTGAAAGAATACAAAGAGCAGTCAATAGTTTTCATTCCACTCTTGACCCTCACTGAAGAAGAAATACTTTTTCAGGTAAAATTAAAAACTTTCCATCACTTCTCTAAAGCCTAAGGGGATATCGCTTTAGATTTTATATTAAGTTCATAAGTGGATAAATAAAACTCAGAACAGGGACATGCATATCATCTGCTGCAAATTCTTTTTCAACACAGTAACTTTGTGTCTTTGCATAAGTGTCAAAGGGCAAGCAGACTGAGAACCATCTACACTCTTTGGTAATCAACCCTTCCTCAGCAAGTTTCAGGAGACGTCCTTTTCTTTTTTTTTTCTTTTTCTTCTCTTTTCTTTTTTTCTTCTCTTCTCTTTTTTTTTTTTTTTTTTTTTGTTTTTTGCCATATGCGACACCAGAAAGACAGAGAGAGACAGAAAGCGAGAAATCACCCCCCAGGGGTATGGCCATGCTGCAATCCCTTCTCCTCCAGTCTCCTCTTGGGATCTTGGGCACACACGCGCACGCGCATGCGTGAGTTTAAGCCATCAGGTCTGGGACTCAAACTGCGGTCAACTATGTGGGAGTCCAAGGACATAGTCATTACATCAACTCCTTGTCCCAAGACATCCTTTTCATGGATGGTGCTCCTGTGAGAATGGCTGCAAAAGTAGAGGCAAAGTGTCTCCCTACCTCAGGCTTTCCTGATGAACCATAGCAAACCTAGCATAGTTAGAGTGGGATCCCAGGCCTAATCATAGCCAATTGCCTCCTTTGTGACTTGTTTCATTTTCTTTTGTTTGACAGTTCTGAGACTGTGCTTTTTTACAGCTGAATGGCCTGTGGCAGCTGACTGCTGAGAGTAATTTTCACTCACATAGAAAATACACCAATACACAAGAAGAGAGAGAGTGAGAGCGAGAGCAAAAGTGAGAGACAGAGAGAAAGAGAGGTAGGGAAATGTGTAAAAAATTGAAATGGCAAGGACTGTTACCAACAGAAAATGTGTGAAAAATTGAAATGAAAAAGGCTGTTACTGGCTTGTCTCATTGTCACATACAAATTGAAATGAATACTAGAAATATAAGCATTTGAGAAGTGACAGGACAGAAGATGTGGCTCTCAAGTCTCACTCTCTCCACTGGTATCCTACAAAAGTCAGATTCAAAGAAATTCTAGTTGACTTCTAAATCTCTAAGGCTTAAAACATCACAATAAGGATACCATGGAAAGATAAGCACTTTTCACTGTTCAACAAATTGAAAATTATTTAGCTATTTAGAACCGATTTTGCATAACTGCAAATGTGATAGTAGTTTTAGGGATTTAGAAAAGTTCCAGAATAGTACTCAGAGTAGTAAGTTAATTTTGCAGTGGTAAAAGTTCAATGAAATATGTTGTTTCTTTGTAGGGTGAATTCAGAATCTAAGAGAGGTAACTACAGTATATCATATGTATAAAGTGAAAAATAAACAAGAACACATTGAAAGGAAGATATAGATGCTCATAATGATTTTAAAGGAGGGTAGGTAAACCTTCATCATCATGACAAAATCTTCCCTCTAACACAGGATTATGGAAAGGAATTCCCTACCTTAAGGACTCATTTACATTGGAAGTACAGAAAAGTTTTTAAGAAACAGATCAAAACCATGCATTTTTATTTCTATGATGGTTGATAAATGATGCAGGGATTTTACATACAGAAAGAGAAAACTGAGATTCAATTAACATAAGCTATTGATCAGAGATCAATGCCTGCAATGATGCTGTTAATAATAATATAAACAATAACAAAAATAAACAAACCACCAGTACCACTTACTAAGTTTCTACTCTATGCCAGGAACTTATTTTTTTTTCTTTTTTTGGAGAGATTTTTTCTATAGGGCGTGTGTGCTCACCAGACAGACAGAGAGAGAGACAGAGATAGAAAGCAAGAAATCACCCCCCAGGGGGGATGGTCATGCTGCAATCCCTTCTTTTTTTTTCTTTTTTTTGAGAGTTTTTTTTGCTAGAGGGCGCGTGTACTCGCCAGACAGACAGAGACAGAGAGATAGAAAGCTAGAAATCACCACCCAGGGGGGATGGCCACGCCGCAATCCTTTCTCCTCCATTCTCCTCTTGGGATCTTGGGCACGCACGCACACATGCCCGGCGTGAGTTTTAAGCCACCGCGTCTGAGACTCGAACTGCGGTCGACCACGTGGGAGTCCAGCGACTTAGCCATTATGCTAACTGCAGGTCCCTGAGCATTTTTTCATATGCATTTTGACTGCTTGTATGTCTTCCTCTGAGAATTGTCTGTTCAGCTCATTTTTCCATCTTTTAATTGGGTTGATCTTTTTTTTTTTTTTGGAGGTGTGGTACGGTGGGGAAGCTGCTTGAGTTCCCTATATATTCTGGTTATTAGTTCTTTATTTGAGGCATAATTTGTGCATATATTTTCTTTTTGTAAATATATTATTTTTCTGAGCAGAAGATTTTAACCTGATACGAACTAACTTGTCTATTTTTTGGATTATTGACTGTGCTTTATATGTCTAATTTAAGAAGCTTTTGCCTGCCTCAATGTCTCCAAGAGTTTCTCTTTTGTTATTCCCCTGTAGCTTTACATTTTGAGGTCTTAGGTTTAGATCTTTGATCCATTTTGATTTTTGTTAGTGATGAGAGATAAGCATCCAGTTTTACCTTTCTGCAGGTGCAGACTCAGTTTTTCTAGCACCATTTGCTAAAGAGGTCCCCCGCCCCAGAATAACTGGTGTCCTTTGTCAAAAATCAGTTGGCTATATATTTTGGGATTTATTTCTTGAGTCTCTATTCTGTGCCATTGGTCTACATGCTGTTTTGTTTTGTTTGTTTGTTTGTTTGTTTTGTAACCAAAGAAATGCTTTATTAACACAAACACACAAACTGTACAGCAGTAAGAAATTTAAATATCTAGGTCATAACAAACAAGTGGCAACTCAACATCCAGGGTCAACAGAATGCTTGAAGGAGACTGCAACAAATCAGATTCCCAGGGTGGAGAAGGCATCTTCACAGGCAAAAGGGACCCAGCTGTAACAGCTTTTCAAGTTCTCTCTCTTCATCAAGGATCATGAAAGGCACTTCATTCAAGGGGAGATGTGCAATCTGGTGTTCTTCAGGCATGTCAAAACTCTCAAAATCTAGTGGATTGAAGGGTAAGAATTTTTCTGTTTCTGGATAGGTGCCATCTGAGGCAGGAACAGAGAGTTTTGCTTTCACAGTCTTCTCAGTCATCTTTCTTGCAGAGAAGGTTAGTTGTTTTTGCTTGGGGGGTTCATTAGTCTTTACTGACTTTTCTGTAGCTCTGTTGACAGTTCCTAAAGCCTTTCTGGTAGCTTTAGGTAAAGCAGGTGGAGCATCGAAGATTTTGCCAACACGTGGTGTTAAAACCTGAGATTTCCCATCTAAGGCCTTAACTAAGGGCCCAGAGTCCAGCTTCAACCCATCCTTGGGAGCCACGCGGGTGCCTGGGTCTCCATTTTCCTTATCAACAAAGATCAGAGTAGCCATTCTGGATTATTCCAAGATTCTGTCTTGCTGTTTTGAATATTACAGCTTTGCAATATATTTTGGAACCAGAGAGTGAGATGCCTCTCATTCTGTTCTTCTTGGACAGTAGTGTTTTGGCAATTTGGAGTCTTATATGATTCCAGACAATTTCTGTGATTGTTTTTTCTAAATATGTGAAAAATATCTCTGGTGATTTTATTGGGATAGTGTTAAATGTGTAGATTAATTTGAGTAGAATTGACATTTCAATAATATTAATTCTTCCAATCCAGGAATATGGAATGTCTTCCTACTTTTTAATGTCATTTTTCATTTCCTTTTTTAGTTTTTCATAGTTTTCCTTGTGCAAGTCTTTAACTTCTTTGGTTATCTTTACTCCTAAATATTTTATTTATTTTGCAGCTATTGTAAATGGAATTGCTTTCATCAGTTCCCTATCAGTCTGTTCACTGATGGTGTATACAAATTCTATATATGTTTGTATGTCAATTTTGTATACTGTCACTTTAATCATTTACTACTTCTAGGAGTTTTTTTGTGGGTTTCTTAGGGTTTTATATATTTATAGTCATGTCATCTCCAAAAAAAAATATTTTCACATCTTCTTTCCCTTTTTGCATGCCTTTTAATCTCTTATCTAGTGGCATTGGCTAGGACTTCCAATACCACATTGAAAAGAAGTGGAGAAAGAGGGCAGCCTTGTCTTGTACCAGTTTTTAGTGGAAAAGTTTTCAGCTTTTCCCAATTCAGTATGATGTTAGTTATGGGTTTTCATAAAATGACTTTTACTGTTTTGAGAAATGTATCTTCTATGCCAGTTTTGCTGAGAGTTTTAATCATGAAGGGATGTTGTATTTTATCAAATGCTTTTTCGGTATCAATTGATATGTTCATATGGTTTTTAACATTTTAATATGCTGTATTACATTTATGGTTTTTGCATATGTTAAATTATCCTTACATCCCTGGAATAAAGCCTACCTAGTCATTGTGTATAATCTTTTTAATGTGTCATTGGATATTATTTACTAGGATCTTGTTTGAAATGTTTGCACCTATATTTATCAGAGATATTGGTCTATAGTTTCTTTTTTCATTAAGTCCTTGTCCATTTTGGAGATGAGAGTGATGAAGGTTTCATAAAATGAATTTGGGCGGTTTTCCTTATTTTGGATTTTTATAGTTTCAGTAGAATGGGTGTTATGTCTTCTTTAAAAGGTTTGTCGAATTCAGAAATGAAACCATTGTGACCAAGGCTTTTCTTTGTTGGGAGGTTATTTATCACTGAATGAATTTCATCACTTGTTACTGGTTTATTTATACTTTCTGTGTCTTCCCCATTCAGTCTTGGTAGTTTATATGTGTCCAGAATTTTCTCCATCTCATTCAGGTTTTCTTGTTTTTTGGCATATACTCATTACTACTATTCTCTAATGATCTCTTGTATTTTTACTACATCTGTTTTTATTTTTTTTTTTTTGAGAGGTTTTTGCTATGGGGCGCATGCACTCACCAGACAGACAGAGAGACAGAAAGACAGAAAGCAAGAAATCACCGGGGATAGTCACGCCGCAATCCCTTCTCCATTCTCCTCTCGGGATCTTGGGCACACACGCACATGCACCTGGCGTGAGTTTCAAGTTACCAGGTCTGGGACGCGAACCACGGTCAACTATGTGGGAGTCCAGCAACATAGCCATTATGCTAACTGCTGGTCCCCTACTACATCTGTTTTAATATTACCTGTTTCATTGTGAATTTGATTTATCTGGTTTGTTTCTCTATTCTTAATTAGTCTAGCTAATGATGTGTCAGTTTTGTTTATCTTCTCAAAAAACCAGCTTTTGGATTCATTTATCTTCTATATAGTTCATTTATTTTCTATTTCATTTATTTCTGCTCAAATCTTTCTTTTTTCTTTTTTCTTTTTTTTCTGAGAGGTTTTCGCTATAGGGCACATGCGCTTGCCAGACAGAGAGACAGAAATTGAGAAATCACCCCCTAGGGGGGATGGCCACACCACAATCCCTTCTCCTCCATTCTCCTCTTGGGATCTTGGGCATGGACGCACATGCACCCAGTGTGAGTTTTAAGCCACCGGGTTCAGGACGTGAAGTGAGTTTTAAGCCACCGGATTCAGGACGTGAACCGTGGTTGACTACATGGGAGTCCAGCAACATAGCCATTACACTAACTGCTGGTCCCATATTTCTGCTCAAATCTTTATTATTTCTGGCATTTTTGTTGTTGCTGTTTTTCCAATTCACTGAGGTATGTTGTCAGGCTATGTATTTGCCACCTTTCTATTGTTTTCTTATGTGCACTAATTACTGTGAATTTCCCTTTTATCCCAGCTTTTGCTGTGTCCCATAGATTATGGAAACTTGTGCACTCATTATCATTGGTTTCAATGAATCTTTTGATTTCAGTCTTAATTTCTTCAGTGGTTGTGAAGTCATTCAAGAGTAGGTTGTTTAGTATTCATATGTTTGTGTATTTTTGAGGAATTTTCTTTTTTTTTTAAAGATTATTTTTGTATTTCAACAAGAAAATTCTTTATGATTCACATTTTCTTTTATTAGGTTTTGTTTTTGGTTTTTTTTTTTGAGAGGTTTTTGCTATAGGGTGCGTGTGCTCGCCAGACAGACAGAGACATAGAGACAGAAAGCGAGAAATCACCCCCCCAGAGGGGATGGTCACGCCGCAATCCCTTCTCCTCCATTCTCCTCTCTGGATCTTGGGCACGCACGCACACGCACCCGGCATGAGTTTAAGCCACTGGGTCCAGGACTCAAACCGCGGTCGACTACGTGGGAGTCCAGCAACATAGTCATTATGCTAACTGCTGGTCCCTTGAGGAATTTTCTTGAAATTAATATCCAGTTTAATTCCTTCATGTTTGGAGAAAATACTAGATACAGTTTCTATGCTTTTGCGTTTGTAAATGCTTATTTTGTGCCCTATCGTGTGGTCGATCTTCAAAACAGTTCTATGCAGGGATGAGAAAAATGTATATTTTGAAGTTGTTGGGTGGAAAGTTATATAGATGTCAGTCAAGTCCATTTTATTTATGGTGTCATTTAGATCTCATATCACTTTGCCTGTTTTTTTTTTGTCTAAATGATCTGTCCAAAGGAACAAGTGAAGTGTTGATATCCCCAACAATTAGTTTGTTGTAGTCTATCTCTCCCTTTAGATCTAACAATCTTTCTTTCATATATTTGGATATTCCCAGGTTGTGTGTGTGGTATGTGTGTGTGTGTGGTATGTGTGTGTGTGTGTGTGTGTGTGTGTGTGTATATATATATATCAGTGTTTATTGTATCTTCTTGATTAATTTGATCTTTAGGTACTGTATAATGTCCTTCTTTGTCTTTTCTTACAGTTTTGTCTAAAAGCCTGTTTTGTCTGATATCAGTATTGCAACTCCAGTCTCTTTTTGATTTCCATTTACATGTGATACCTTTTTCTTTCACTTTTACTCTATGTATTTCTTTATCACTGAGGTATGTTTCCTGTAGGCAGTAACTAGAGGGTTTCTGTTTTTTTATCCATTCACCCAGTTTGTGTCTTTTGATTGGAGAATTTAATCCATTAACATTCAACATTAGTATTAAAATTTGTAGATCTATCCCTGCCATTTTGTTAGCCATTTTTTTCAGTTGCTTTTTGTTCTCTTATTTCTGTCTGTATGTCTTTAGTTTCCCTGATACAGTACTCCCCTCAGTAATTCTTGAAGAGCTGGTCCAGTATTGGTGAATTCTTTCCGTTTTTGTTTGTCTATAAATTATTTTATTTGTTCTTCCCATTTGAAGGATAATCTTACGAGATATAGTATAGTATTCTTGGTTGAATTGTGTGTGGTGTGTGTGTGTGTGTGTGTGTATTTTGGATATGTCTTCCCATTCTTTTCTTGCCTGCATTCTTCCAGTTGAAAGATCTGATGTTAACCTAGTAAAATAAGCTTTGTATGTGACTTGATGGTTTTCTCTTGCCATTTTTAAAATCCTGTGTTTGTGATTTTTACCATTCTGGTTATATTGTGCTGTAGAGAGGATATTCTTATGTTGTTTCTATTTGGAGTCCTTTGTATATTTTGCGTCTGGATGTCTGAATGCTTCTCTTTCTAAGTTTGGAGAGTTTTAGGCATGTATTTTGTGGGATAAATCTTCTGTGCCCTTGTTTGTTTCTTTGCCTTCTGGAATACTTGTTATTCAAATATTTGAGATTTTATATTATCTAATATTTCCTATATGCTATTCTCATTTTTTGTTATTAATTTTTCATTATTATTGGTGGTTTTACCTACATCAAAGGTTTTGTTTTCCATTTCAGAGAGAGATTTTGTCTTCTGTGTAATCCAGTTTGCTATTAGTACTGCCAAGTGAGGTCTTGATTTCCTGTATTACTATCTTCATCTCTAGAAGCTCTGATATTGATTTTTTTTGGGTGTCTGTCTACTTCTTCAAGTCCTGGAAAGACTTCCTTGTCTCTGTCACCATGAATATTCTGCACTCTTTTTCTGACATTCCTTCAAATCTTATGTGCTGCCCAAGGTTAAAGAAGAGTTGCTCGGGACCAGCAGTTGGCATAATGGCTATGTCGCTGGACTCCCATGTAGTCACCCACAGTTTGAGTCCCAGACCTGGTGGCTGAAACTCATGCTGGGTGCATGTGCATGCGTGCCCAAAATCTCAAGAGGAGAATGGAGGAGAAGGGATTGCAGCATGGCCATCCCCCCTGGGGAGTGATTTCTCACTTTCTGTCTCTCTATCTTTCTCTGTCTTTTTGACTAACACACACACCTTATAGCAAAAACCTCTCCAAAATAAAAAAAGATTTGAGGAAGAGGTATTTCCTTGTTTTCTCATACTTTTTGTGCCTCTGAGCTGGTTTCTAGTCATCTGATGGATTATACACTTTTCCTACTTTCCTGATGTTGATTGTATAGTGTCAAAAGGGGAAAGATGAGCTCTATTTCTCAGATGTGTCTTCTGTAGACAGCCTT